TTTTTTTTTTTTTTTTTTTTTTTAATTTTATGTAGGTACCCAGTGCTATGGACTTTCCTCTTAGAACTACCTTCATTGTGTCCTGTAAGTGTGGGTGTGCCTTGTACTCTTTCTCATTCAGTTCTAGAAAGTCTTTAACTTTCATCTTGATGCAGTTTTCATTCAGTAATGAGTTGCTTAGTTTCTGTGAGTTTGTAGACGTTCTTCTGTCTGTTGTTGATATCCAGTTTTATCTGTGGTGATCAGACAGGATATAGGGCTTCAGTGTTCTTGTGTCTGTTAAGGCTTGTGTTGTGTCCTAGTATGTGGTTAGCTTTGGAGAAAATTCCATGAGGTACAGAGAAGAAGGTGTATTCTCTTGTGTTTGGCTGAAATGTCTTATAATATCTGTTAGGTCCATTTGGTTTAGAATAACAGCTCCAGCATTTCACTGTTTAGTTTTTGTCTGGATGACCTGTCTGTTGGTGTGAGTAGGGTGTTGAGGTCTCTCCCACTATCAGTGTGTGAGGGTCAATATGTGATTTAAGCTGTAGTAGTGTTTCTTTTGTGAACTTGAGTGCCCTTGTGTTTGGGGCATAATTGTTAAAAATTGAAATGTCCTATTGGTGAATTTTCCCTTTGAATATGTAGTGTCCTTCCCTAGCTAATCTGATAGTTTTGGTTTGAAGTCTATTTTGTCAGGTATTAAAATGGTTACACCAGCTTGCTTCTTAGGTCAATCTGCTTGGAATATCTTTTTCCACTCTTTATAACCCTGAGTTGATGGCTGTCCTTGATGTTGAGGTGTGTTTCTTGTATACAGCAGAAGGATGGTCATGTTTGTGTGTGTTTCCCATTTTGATTTGCTGGTCTGTATTGTTTGTTCCTCGTGCTTTGGGGGTGGTTGACCTCTTTACATTGAGGTGTCTGTCTAGCACTTTCTGTAGGTGTAGATTTGGAGACAGATACTGTGTAAATTTGGTTTTATCATGAAATGTCTTATTTTTCCATCTATTGTGATTGGAAGTTTTGCTGGATATAAGAGTTTTGCTGGATATAAGAGTTTTGCTGGCATCTGTGGTCTCTTAAGAATCTGTAGAACATCTGTCCAGACTTTCAGAGTCTCTGTTGAGAAGTGATATTTTAATAGGTCTGCTTTTATATGTTACTTGTCCCGTGAAGCTTTTAATAAAAATTCTTTCTTCTGTACGTTTAGTATTCCAGAGGAAAACTTGCTAGAGTTGGGCCTGGAATAATAGGATGAGTGGAGAGGAAGGTTGGAGAAGATCTTCCTGATTCACTGAACATGGGGGCAGAAAGGAGGGCGAGGCCACAGCTGTTGTCTGCTCCAGAGATGGGGGTGAGACTGGGGAGCTGGATTTGGAGGAGAGAAGGGAGAGATGAAGGTCTGCAGTTAGCCCACCTGTTTCCCTCTCTTATTTTATATTGCAAGATTGTTCATTGTATGACTGTGGAATTTCATGAAATAATTCTATGTTTTATCAGAAGGAAAGAATACCAGTTCTATAGTCAGTCTTGAGTATATACAAATAAAGGTGAAATGAACCATCGTATTTCAGATAAGGATAAGTGAACAGTAAAAAGAGACTTTTGTACGTTAAAGAACGCTGTGCAAGCAGAAGGGGATGCTTAGACGTGTAGATTACGACACAGAGAATTGTATGTCATTGAACAGAGAAGACATTAGAACAAGTTGTGGTAAGTTAGTAGAGCTGTAAGGTAGACAGCAGTACAAACGGAGAAAAGGACAAGCACTGCACTACTTACATTAGTAACAGGTTTTCACGTCAGTGTCCCTTGTGTGCAGGAGTTGACATGTAAACATGCTGCTCTTTCTGTCTTCCATCTCCCATCCCTTAGGTAACCTAAAAAATACTACTGCAGACTTTTTTTTCTAAAGCCATGGTTCTGAAAATATAAAACCCACTAATTCATGTTGTCACTTTTCAGTGTGAGTTTAGAGACCAGTGCTGACTTACCTTAAGCAAATTGAACTAATTGAGTGTGCTCCATCCTAGAGTTTCTCTTTCCATACTCTCCTAGTCTCGCTGTACTTGCAGTTTATCTGTAAAAACAATGTAATTATAGGAAGTAACTCCTGGCTATTGGACTCTTCTTTATTAGGAAAGTGTTTTGTGTACAGTAACGGACTCATGGACCATATGTGTGTCTGTGACAATGGAAGCAAGAAAGCATGGTATAAGAAGCCAGGGAATTTCCAGGGAACGTTGGTAAGGAGATGCTTTTGTTTGGAGTCTTTGTATGTTTTCTGTTCTTTTATTTATTCTTACATATGGCTTTCTAATTATAAAGGAATTAAAAGTTCATCATACCAAATCATGGTAAAGAAAAGTATTTCTTTCCTTTATAACTTATTCATCTTGTTTATATAGGAAAAAAGAAGTAGCGTTTTAAAGTTATTTTTAATTTTTTTGAGAATTGTAGCTCTCCCGTATTTTTAAAACATACAAACAGACTCATGTATGTTTGTCCCGAATCCTTGGTGGTATTAACATTAATGCACTTCTAAAGAGTACTGTGAGGACTTTCTTGTTTCCTTTGAAGAACAATACTCATTTTATTTGTTCTCTCAGCCACTCTGTAACCCCTGACAACTTCTAATCTGTTCTTAATTTAGAAAACTTTGTCCTGTAAAAAATGCTATATAAATGGAATTGTGGTAGCATGCTACTTTAGGCGTTGCCTGCCATTTTTCACTTACATAATAGTCTGGAGATTCATCCAGGCTGTTGTATGAGTCCATTATTTGCTTCTGGTTTATTGCTCAACAGTTTGGTGTAGATGTGCTACATTTCCATTCAGGGTTGTTTGCAGTTCTCAGATAATTTGAATAAAAGCTGCTACATTCATTTTGTTTGTCTGGGGCGGGGGAGCAGTATGTGAGATAAACTTATTCTTTAATATCTCTGAGATTTTTAGAGGAATTGTATTGCACTTCTATTCCAACTTAGGGTGAAACAACAGCTTTAATTTGTTGGGCCTTGCGTTGAATTTTGTTTTGTTTTGTTTTGTTTTGTTTTTCTTTGAGACAGGGTTTCTCTGTGTAGCTTTGCGCCTTTCCTGGAACTCACTCTGTAGCCCAGGCTGGCCTTGAACTCACAGAGATCCACCTAGCTCTGCCTCCCAAGTGCTGGGATTAAAGGCGTGCGCCACCACCGCCCGGCTTGTTTTGTTTTTTTAAATAGTGTCTCTCTGTATAATTCTAGCTGGCCTGGAACTTCATATGTAGACCAAACTGGCCTCGAACCCATGGAGATCTGCCTCCCAAGAACTGGGATTAAAGTTGTGTGCCACCAAGCCCAGCTTCCAGTGCATTTTAAATCGGCTTGCAACACTATAATTGAAACATTTTTTTTCCTTAAAGATAAGTTTTAAATTCACTGTCAACTTTTGTCATTTAATTAATAGACGAATTCTGTTAATGCAGTTACAGGTGTCAGGGTCTCCACTTGCCTCTTCCTGTTCTCTTGTTTGTTTCTGTTACTTCTCGTGCCCTCCTTTGTGTCACTGTCTACCATCCCGATTTCAGCGGCCATGCTGTTGTATGTGTGTTTCTTAGCTGAAGCAGTCCAATTCTTTTTTCTAACTTCAAGTATGTTGATAAATGATCATTCTATGTTTTTGTTTTGTTTTTAACATTAGCTGTTTTGAAATCTTTGTCAGGGAACTCAGACATATTAGTTCATTTCCAGTGTTTATTATTGTCTTGTCTTCATTTAGTGTAACACCTTCCTAGTTCTTAGAATGGGCATTTGAGTGTTGTTATTAAATCTCAAGTTCCAGTTAAACATTTTGTTTAAACTTTTTTGGGGGGTGGCGTAGGGGACTGTTTCACAAAGGAAGAGGGAGTATCACATGATTAATGCAGCATAGCTAGAAGTCTAGGTTCTCCACTCACCTCCAGTTGGCAGCAAGTTTTGGGGGAACCTTCACTGTTGGGCAGAAGTGGGAGTTTTGGCTCTTGCCACTGGTTCTGAGATGGAGTGACCTCATGACTGTCAGACGGTGGCCCAAATCCCCCTCTCCACTGTTCCTCTCCTGACACCACCTTAGCGTAGTAGACAGACATGTTATCTGGGGGACAGGAGTTTCACCTTGTTGGTCTTCTGTAATGCCAACCCACTGAAGGTGTTAGAGTGCCTCATTGCAGCCTTGTGAGGGAAATCTCCACGACCTTCTTGGTTTTTGCTGGTGCGGTTCCGAGCAGTGGTTGGCAGGAGGAGAGTAAATGTGTCTTACAAGTTCTCTTCCCACTTGTGAGTGGCTTTTCTAGCGTCTTTTAAGGTACAGTGTTGTGATTGTGTCCACATCTTTTTAGTTGTATAGCATACTACTTTATGACTATACCTTGTTTTATTTCTCTGCTTATTAGTTGATGGGCATTTAGGTTATTTCCACTGCAGCAAGTGAATAATGTAGTTATGAACATTTAAATTTTTGTGTGAACATGTGTTTTAATATCTCCTGCATATATATCTAGAGTTGAATTTTGGGGGATTTGTGGTGCCACTTCATTTAACTTTTTAAGAAACTGCCAAACTGTTTTGCAAGTGGGTGTACCATTTTACTTTCTCATAAGCAATATATGAGGCTTCCAAATTCTCCAGTCCTCCCTGGGACCTTTTTCTCCTTCTCCCCTTTCCTCCCGTCCTCCTTCCCTCCATTCTGAGTTTGTATTATTAAGTTGTAAGAATTTGTCTGTTCATGGCAGGCTTCTCTTTAGTTTCTGACTGCTTTTGATTTCTCTCAAGATACTTCAGAAAGGGGTCTTTAATGACACTATCTCAGATGTCATACTTAAGAGAGTTTCTGTGATCAATTCTGTACTTCCTTTTTATAGTAATCTTATAAAAAATTTTTATTTAAAAATTTTTAATTTATGTATATGTATCTGTATGAATCTATGCCCACATGTGTGTGAGTATCCACAGAGG